CTACTTATTATGAAATATATATATATATATATATATATATATATATATATGTATATCGTGGAACGGCATATGCGTCTTTATTATTTATGTGTTCATGGGAATCGCAGAAACACGGCCAACAACTGCCAAGCTATGAACGATAGTAATTTTCGAGCAAGACAGAGAAGCACAAAAATCCTGAAGGATTCATAGTTTAATAGCCTGTTATCCGTTTCGGTACGTTTATATTTTTTTCTATTCCTATAAGTTGTCCTGATCAATATAGTTTCAACTGTGCCGGTCTTAGGCATCCTAACTCACACATTCATGATCGTTCTGTGCATCGATTTTTCGTTAATCAGTTCTGAGGGCATGTTTCTCGGTGGCTTTCAGTCGTCGTGGTCTCTTCGGCTTGGTTTGAACGGATTATTGCACTCACGTTTGATGTTTCTTTTTGGTACTTTTCTTATCGAAGCTATCTCGCACTCGCGGTCTCTGCTGTTTCACCCTGCACACAGTGCGAAAAACACATGATCAAAAAGGATCACTTCACTATGACAGAATTTTTGATGTCAAATATCGATGTTGTCTCCTGGCAAATCATGGTAGTCGCCAATCTGTGATCCGTCAGTCCTCTTGATATGCCTTGCTCCCACATCCAACGTTTCTGTTAAGTTAATTATAAAATCACACTTTGCACGGGCTACTTCGTTCATTCGTAACACTCACATGAAGCTGGTCCGAAGTTCGGTGGGCAACCAAAACCCTCAAAGTACAGGTCATCCGCAAAACCGACTGAATTTTTATGCATACGTAATCGCAGGTCAATCATGTACTCCGAAATCTGCTCAAAAAAGACGTGTGTCAAAAGCCATTTGTTTCTTCAATATATATGTGTGTGTGTGCGTGTCTGTTCACCGACAGACTTGTGTCTAGCTGTGTAGCAGCTCGATTACTTGAGCGTGTGTTTGTGTGTATGCATGCACGATGACTCCCCGACTGGAACACAGGAACGTGCACGGAATTTACTCATGCGTCCGGTTTTTCTCCCATTAATGCTTTTTCTCATTTCGGACTTTAGTAATGCCAACGTGCTCTTAACGTAATAGATTTGGATCTAGTTTGTATGCGTTCGATGGTGTGTTCCCTGCACATATCTGTTTCACGCATACATAAATAAATTTATCTATATTTCGCACAGTGTTTCTCATTTGCTATTTTATTCACTTATTTGATTGAAGGATTGCAATCTAGGAATGTTGTTGGTGAGTCAGAAATACACAACACATTGAATTCATCGATCGCGGGGAGGGAGAGGTTTTCACTAATACCATAGGCTCGTGGCTGATGTTTGTGTTCCAAATTAAAAAAATGTTTTCGAAGTCTATTTCTGATAAGTTGTTACAATGCTACATTGTGTTCACTTACTGTACTAGATTTAATACTAATGAATACGCTCAAGTATGCGGTATGATGGGACAGTAAAGATACTGAAAATCAGATCAGCACTCCGACTGTGCGGTGCCTGCAGATACACATCCCACTTCGTCTGCTCACTCCCCGATCTTTTCGCTTACTACATTCGGTGTTGGATTTTGATTCGTTGAGGAAGGAGGGGTTCCTGTCATTTGTGAACTGTATTCGCACGTGTCCATTCATCCCTGATTCATCATTCACACGTGGAACACGCGATTCGTTCAACCAGATCTATAGAACCGTTGATACAACGCTTCTTCTACCATGTGATCAAAATTTCAAATAATCCGTTATGTTAGGCTTTTGTCGTTCAACAATTATTCCTAGGGTAAAATAGTTAATCGCGGATTGCTATACTCACGAAATAATTCAATGCCCGTATGTAGGTTCATTCTTCAAACTCGGTCATCTATATATCACTTGTGGGTGCCAGTTGGTCTGATCATGTTGACCGTAAATAATTTTAGGATTATATCTTCTCGCATTTTCATTCGTTGGCTCTCCCTTAAAATAACTATCCTGAATTTGTAGAACAATCTTGTCGCACGTCAATCGTAGTGTTTCACACTTCAAGGCATTCATGTGACCCATTGGATTTTCAAAATAATTCGCTAGCTATTTTACTCGGTATCGGATTGGCTTCCACGGAGGAATCAGTTTCATGTAATTGAAATCAATCCTGCTGAGAAAACAAAAGATTCAAGGTCATAGGGGATAGTGCGATTTTTGAACAGTGTAGTGAGAACCGAATAGCTGGAAGACAGAACAATCGCCGCTGCCTCGTATTCAAATGCACCGTTCTCGTCCGAGAGCATAAACGTGACGCTCCGCGGGGGATCCTATTCTTGACCTTAGCTTACCCGGTGGATCACTTTTGTCTATACACGATGCAATTTGTCGTCGTAGTTTGCATGGACGTGAGCATTACAAACAAAAAAACTTGGGATTTTATTGTTCCTTAATTTATTCAAAAACCTTGTAAACTCTGAAAAAAAATTTTTTGGTTCACTGTTGCTCGACTTGTGATCCCATTCCGTCATACAGCTGGCAGGGCCATCAGGATATTATTTCTGGTAGCAGTAGTAGTAGTTTTCCGGTGAAAAGTTATCCGATCGGGTCCTAAACAACTCTTCGATTAATTTTATCACTTCATTGTTTAGTTCCCAATCGCATCGGTGGCTTTCTACACAAAAAGTGTAAACTCACCTGTTTTCCTTACTATTCGCATGTTGCGTAGAATGTCGAGATATCCCAAACAATCCTGATTTCATAAGTTTCTTGATCTTTTGTTTGAATCACCTCATTGATTACCTCGTGGAGGACTCCATCAATAAGCATTGTCATTCCTACGCTATCCTCCTTCTCCTCTATTTCTCTGATCACTTGCTTTGACTGAATTCGATGAAATCCGCTAGAACCGTTTGTCTTCCAGTTTTCCATTCTTTCTGGATAACATCATTCGATTGTATTTTCAGAATAAACAACCGAGAGTTTTTTCACTCGTTAGGCTCTTCCAACTGTTATTCTCCATTGAACTATACTATCCTCCCAATGATTTTGTCATTTTCTTCAACAATTTTACTCAGGCTTCTAAGCCGCGAATCATTGAGAATCAACCGTGCAAATTTATTTTTCCTAGTCCAGTTATTTGTTGTGTTCCGGCTTGCATATGAGAAACCAATTCATAAAATCCTGTCGGATCTCGTCTGCTCTACTGTTCTTCCCATCTATCGATGCGGTTCTTGATTTTTTAGATATGCCACCTCCTATTGTCGCATCCTAGTTTTCAGCTATCCGTATGAATCATGCATTCCGATCAAGAGGTCCTTGATTGCATTGCATTGGAACCCCAACTTCATGTTCATTTGACCTGGTGGTCCTATCGAGACATTTTGAGGGAATCAAAATCTTTTCATTTCATCGGAATAACATCGTTATCGAAATGAAATAAAGATTTTTTGCTACTTGCTAATAGAAACGAGCGAGTGAAATCGCATTCCCCACATGCAAGTCGACCTTATCCGTGTATATCTCATTTCAGCGTTTGGCTACTGCCTTGTACGAAGTAGTATTATGCTTCTCATGAACGTTTCCATTTTGTAGCGATCCGTACAGTGTGAAATGACATTGGTTTACGCACGAATAATTTCCTATCTAATGGTTGTTCCATATCGATTTTAGTTGGAGATGTGTGTGAACGCACATCTACGTATTTTTTGTTCATCGGATACTTCAATCACATATTACATCACATTCAGCACCATCCAACTTTTAACTCTGTGGTTCGTCCCCTTTTCCAGGATCAATGGCATTTACCCGTTTTTCATGAACAGCTCAGTTTGACCGAACCAGCCTCAGTAAGTTCTTGCCCATCCGATCCCTGTCCTCTATTTTTATTAATTGTCGTTTTGTTTCACAGGTTTATGGATACGTACAACAAGTACAGTCGCTTGTTAATCAGGGTCTGCTCCTGTAAGCAGAATAACGCTGATACGTTTTGTGATATCAAATCTGCGTTATTCAAACGCAGTTCCTACATCCCGTCTGCTCTACACCGTTTGGTCATTCTTGTGCGCAGCAATCCCGGTTCAAACAAATAAAATCAACATCCGCGGTTCGCCCTTATTGCTTTAACGTGAATCGAAACCGCTTTTCAATCGTTCAACCACATTTTAATAGATTTATGCAATAACATTTGTGCATTTCGCACACGTGGTTTACCAGTTGTCCGCACGAGAGCCTCTCTGTTTGTTTAAATAGAAAAGTAAACAGTAAAGTACTGCTATTTGTTCAGTGTTCTTCAGATTTATGCCAAAGGTTGACAAGTGGCTGAGTGTACCGTAATCATTTTCACACAGCCGTTTATCTGCCAGTATATCCCACTCACACAGTCAATGTTTTCATGGAAATATTCATCGTATCTTTCTACATCTCTGGCGTACAGCGACGCCGACCTCGAAAGACGCTACCGACTGATTGGTTCTCGGGCACTCGAGATTTCGGTCAAAGTGAAGAATCAACCATCCAAACCCCAACCGGTCGTTCTCGAACTTGTTCCGACTCGGGTGTTCCTCCAGCTCCATATAGTTCCTCTCTAAGCAGTTCTGATGGTCCGACTGGAACCGGGGACCGGTTCTCCGACCTGTCCCCTAACGATTCCATGGCTCTGGCATCTGATCCCACAGCCGTGGCCAAACTGTTAGTGGTACGTTTCTTTCACTTTGATCATTGAATTCCTGAAAATGTTTTTCTCTTGTTTATGTGATGAAAACTGAGGAAAAACACACTCACTCCGATCGTTTTGGTCGTCGAGGAGAAGCAGGATTCATACACGTCTGTTGTTGTTTTTTCACCTCCTGCAGAAACCATCCGATCCAAATTCATGTTGAATTGAATGGAAAGTAGAGTTTCAAAAAGAGCCACATTATCTGGCGTATGAAACACCCAATCGGAAAAAGGCAAGCGCGTCGAAGATAGTACAAACTTATTTGTCGGACTGATTTTCGCCTATCTGTCTGTATGTGTGTGTGATTAGTGTGCTGGGTAACCTCGTTGATTTGGGACGGAAGAAGGCATGATGGTATTGCCATGTTTGATATCTTCCATCCCTTTCTTGTCATATTACACTGTCCCGTTCGAGATCACTAGTCATTGTGTCCGGTGTACTTTTTTTTCTCCATGTGGAGCAGTGATCACTCGCCATCTGTATCCTTGTACACAGTGCGAAATTGGTTTTCACCTGTCTGCTCAACTTAAATGTATTCTCGGCGTGTATTAAAACGTGGTGCGCGCCGGTTTACTTTAGCCGTATCCCACTACGAAGCTCGTTTTGGTTGTCCGAACAATTAACAACATTTCATTCTGAACGTTTGATCTAACCTTGCGCACATATCTACCCCGGCTGTGGCTCGCTTCTCTCTCTGTCTCTAAACCTACTTACAGTGATTTGCATCGTCTGATCGTGTTTTTATACTAATTGCTTGGTTCTAACCGCAATTTCCATCTGGTCTAATCTTGTGATTTTTTCCTGTCGAATCATTTGATTTGCTTTTCAGCATGGATCTAAAGCATGAAGTGGCACAAAGGTAGGTAGGATCACTGGTCTGTCTGTCTGTAAGAAAGTTTACAATGAAGGAATTATGTTATTCAGTAGAGGCGCTGTAGTATTCCTTTCGTGGATAGTTACTATAGTCGTTTGACGTTTAGACGCTTCACAATCATGTGTGCTGTGTATCGTGTTAGCAGTACTGAGTGGCTCGTGTCATCTTCCCTGGGTCATTTTTCTAACAGACTAGTGAATCACATCTTCGATGGTTAAAAAGATCTGACCGCCACATGTAAACTTTTGCATGCATGTGGCTTTCATTAATTAGGTCGTTTCTAACGCATAAAATACTGACCGAGTGCCGAACAGTGTTCACCAATTCGGGAAGCTTATGCCACTATTCCGTCTTTCTCAGGAAAGTAGCATCATGAGATATTTATATTCTGTACTCATAGAATTGTTTGATTATTGGTAGTTTTAGATTGCTGTTCATTTTCATCTGTTGTTCTGTTATCTAAACATTGAAATGTTAGTATGAATGTGATGCACGCGGTCATAATTGGGTGAGGCAAAATCTCTCGTGTTACAAAAGCGCCCAACTAGAAAGCAACTAAAACTAAAGGAAAATATTGTGATTATGAGTTATTGAAAAAAAGTTGTTCACTTGAAATTGTTTTTATGCGAGCATGTACATATTTCGAAATTTAAAAATAACATGTATTATTTCGTATCCCTGAGAGCGAGCTTGCCAAAGTGGATCTTTAGTAGGGAATTTGATTTGAATAAATTTTACATCTCGCCGTGTATAGAGAAAAAGAAGCGTGAACTGAAACTAGGGAGCATAGAACAGCTGTCTTAATCACATTGTGCCTCATCGGCAATGCAAATCAATCGACCCAACTGAGGATTGAAACCCAAACCTCTGGGGTACTTGACGCACTTCACCGTTTAATCCAATTACGTCCTCCATTACCCTCACATAACAAGTAAGAAGAATGTTTCCAGCCGAGTCATAAGTTTTGAGGTTATCACTGGGATATGTCATGTGTCAAATGTCCGCATTAAGTTCGCAAAGTTGGGTGTTTCGCTCTGTCGTGCGTAGACAAAATACACAACGGTCTGATCAGCTGCCCGGTGGTCAAGTCTACGGTGTTGCTTGCGTTCTACGTCACGTCCCAGGTTCGATCATTAGTTCTATTGATGGATTTGCACTGGTAATGAGACAGATCAGGTCGAAACCGTTGTCCAATGCCTCTTCTCGTTTCAATTCACACTCATTTTGCTGTACATAGGACAAAATTCACCATTCAAAAGGGAATATGTTACAGTTGTGCCGAGTTAAATCATTGCGATCAGCAAGAAAGAACAGTATTTTCGTGTCCTGGAAAGTTGACAAATCGGGTTATAAGTCCGTGAATATTAATGCTGTGTTGTTACGGCTCCTCTTTTTATCATCCGCAAATGAAAAAAAACACTTAAAAGTTCGAATTTGTTCCACTCAGTCCAAAAATTGGTGGGCTATGCTATCACAGTCTCAGGTTTGCTCGTCATCCCATCTGCCTTTCGCTGTGTCTTATGTCTGCATTTGTACCTGAATACATTGTGTAACTCAGCATCAATCTTTCTCCCTGCTGGTTAGTTGCTCCCGTAGATTTGTTGTCTCTTGCTGTCGAGACTCTCCATCCTAGTGACATTTAGGTCAGTTGTTTTTATCAACTTCATGAAACTGGTGAGTTATTATCTTCCGGGTCCTGGTGCTGAATCTCAAGGTCACTGGTTGTGTTGCAGTGGTAGTTCATGCTTTTTTAGTAAAAGAAAGTAATATTTCGATGGTGACCACTGGATGTATACTCGTGACTAAATATGTGTTGATCAACTGAACTGCGAGTGCCTCCCTTATGTGCGTGTGTGTGTGTGTGTGTGTGTGTGTGTGTGTGTGATGACCGAGCAGTCTGTCGTATCGATTTGCCACGCTGTACACTAGTCTAGTCCGCAGTATGATCTTGGCTTTCGTTTGTCCCTCAATTTGGTTGCGGATATTCACCCTGAGTAGTTGGCATAGAATTAGTTCGGACAGTTATTTGTCTTTATGTACTAGTTCAGTATGCAATTGGTTTGCGTGCACGTCAAAGTTCGCCACGTATATGAAAGATCAAACCACAGACCGATGAGAACCTACTACGTGTTGAAGCTAACTGACACTGTAATTTGAGGTTTAGAACAGATAACCATATACTTATATTTTGCTCCTATCTATGTTCAAACTGTGTCATAGTGCAATCACTTTTATGACAAAGGTACCAGTGCATGATCTGTTCTTGGGCGCAATTCTGTCAAGTTGATCATTTAGTTGGCCATTTAGTGTCTTGGATAACGATGATCAGAGCCTTCTATATTAACCCGAACTATAGCGGAGCGTTGTGTGCATGCCGTAGTTCATTGAGATCCGGAGCCCTGCCAACAGGATTTTAGACACGGTTCATACGTCAAAATTGCCAAAAGTGGTTCTGTCCATCCATTGACGGTCGCAATAAACTTGTGCCTTGGAGGCAGTACATACAACTTTGCTTGGGTGGTTTGAGATCCGAGTTGTCCATCTCCTCCACATCAACTGGGCACACCGTACTTCATCAGTCGGGACGTTGCTCTCATGCTCATTTACCTTTTCAACGAAAAATCTTACTTTAGGACAGACCCATCAAATTCTTCAAGCGGTGCACTGCGTAAGATCATTTCAAAGTTTCTGAACGGTGCCGTCCATATCCTCGGAAGTAAGGACCGGATTTTTTCGTCATG